GATTTCGTCAAGATTTTCTTTATTATTTTTATTATTCTGCCATGAATTTTGTTCGCAGGATATCTCAAGAATGAATTAAGCCATAATCATGAAACTTGCCATGATGATAAATCTTAGTCTAACTTAGAACTGCGTGATTTTTCAAAGACTCAAGGTTATCGTGACGTCATCCAGGCGCCATTTTGTGAAAATCAACTTATGATCATATCGTCATAACGAAAAGTAATTTCTCATTCATATTTATCATGATGAAGATCAATATCCGTCCGGTCAATTTCAGGTCAATGAATGCGCGTAAAAATGCGCGTACGCCTAGATGTGCGCGTTTACGCGCGCTTAAATTTTTAAATTGCTCAAAATAGTCTTAATTTTTTTTTGCATACGTTTTAGGCCATTATAAGCATTTCATAAAAAATCGCGCAAAACACACATTTATGCGCGTTTTCGTTCGTCACGGCCGAACGAAAAATAATTACCCCTCAATTTTTTTTGACAGGATATTCCTCATATTTTTCTGAACAATTTGATACCATGTTCATCTCTTTATCACTATTAATAACGGAATGAGCGTCCGTTGAAGATAAATATCCGTGCGTGCTAGCTCATGTATTACATAGCATATATGGGCAAAAACATGCCTATAAAGGACTGCCATTTCTTTTTTCATATTTAGATAGAGTATGAGTCGGAAGTATGATTTCATGTCTCATTTGGCCATTAAGTATATTTTTACATAATCATATTGACCTTGGAACTCAAAATACGAATTTGCATATTATGATGTCAACATATTTACGGAAAATGATTGTATCTCTGCAAATATTGATACATTTTCTTCTAAATTGTGTTATGTTGTAGCTGAGACAATTCTTCACAAGATTATTACCAATATTTATTCATTTTGATGACGTCTTTAGATTTTTGCTTAATATGCGTCTTATGCCTATGGGAGGTGATTGATACTACATTCCAGTCTAGACTTGTTCATTATGTTGCGTATGTAGTGCGTCGAAATATCAGTTCAATGATTGGTAGGCCCTTGCAATCAGGTGAAAATTTGAGCTTGTTTAGTAAATTAATAGTTTATTCATATAACAATTCTCTATCGAATACCTGAAGGGGGCGCTATACCACTTTTAATCATGGTCATCGTCATTTAAACCCAAAAAAATCATCATCATCAATATCGTCATTATCGTATTCATGAATATTATCATTAGATCATCATCGGCACACTTTCATGATACAAAAATAGCTTACGTATCACCTAATTCGTCAAAGTGACGAATTAAAGTCTAGTGATTTTTCTTGAAGTTATCTTGGTTTGTGTGCAGTGCTTTTCGAAACTGTTATGTAACAAGCGCTGTATAAAATGTTCGTATTATTACATTTTCGTATTATAGTTAGATATGTTCCTTCAAAAGGCTTGCTGTTCAAATGCCCTCCAAGACGTACAACGTCGCGACTGTGCTTTTATTTACTTGTGACACACTTGGTACTGTTCTCTAACGAAATTGATTCTGTCGCCAAAGCTGGCCGGACGGAGTTGATAACGGTCATTCATCGCTTGGTTAAGAGCACTAAATTGTACTTACTAACCATAATCATATGAACAGGTTAAATAACTTTCAAGATATATTATGTTTAAAAATTGAAATGATTACAGAAGATAAAAAGTGGTGGAAGTATAGCAAATTCGAGCCTGGCCCATTTTATGAGGTGGCGCTAGTTTATTTGTCAAGATCACCAGATAGATAGCGGATAAGTTTGGTATATCCGGCGGCGATGGGATTATATTTGCCGTCACGCCGTTATAACTCTTTCTGTCTCCTTAAGTCAATCAGAAGTCTCAGAGATCACTACTTTGGAATCCGATTCATGCATGGTCATATTTCGTATCATTTTAATTAAACGATACGTGTTATTGAGCATAAATAATTATTAAAGGTTATAGATTATTGGAAATATTACAAGAGTTTCTTTTTAGTTCTGTTAGATAATTAGGTGATGTAGACTGCAGTCGTATTAATATTCAATCATATTTCTTATTTTATTTCATGTTTTCTTTTTGTTTGTTGAATACCTGTCATTTCCTATTTCATTTGACGTTTTCTTTCAGTTTTTTTTTTTTTTACTACATGTCATTTTTGGATAGCAACCAAAACCTCCAAAACGTTATCATCTAGCGTCCCATTTTCAATTTCTTGCATATAATCATATGCATAAAACAAGTTCAGGACGGACGAAAGAAATAAATCTAAAGAATGACTTTTGTGTAGACACTGTATTGCATGAAAGTTTTTCACCAGATTGTGACCAAAAAAACTTGTTAGAAATAAGAGATTTGATTTTTAATGTATTCATAATGTGCATACTAAAGTTAGTCTCTTACATTTGACGAAATGAATTAAAAGTCTTGCAGTGTATCTCTGCCGTTTAATTTGTGTACAGTGTGTAATGACACGACTGATGCTTAGAAATACCTGACTTTTTGTTATATTTGAAATTTAGGTGATGCAAGTTATGTAATCCGATGGTACTCGTCTCAAAGATTTTGTTGTTGTTATTATTGTTGTTAAGACGGGACGATTATACAATCATATTTTGCTGATATACGTGGTTATGAGATGAAAATAAATTACTCGATATACGAGTGTCTGAGAATTGTTAATTGGGACGAACCCCCCCCCCCCTCCCCCCTAACGACGCCCTAATTTGCAATGGCCCTTTCCTCACATCGTTCCTTTTCTCTAAAAGACCCCATCCGGGGTGAAAACAACCATACATCGATGGAAAGCTAAGTAGACGTAGAAAACAAATACATTATGGGTAAACGTCATTTTTCCTTTCAGTACTCCATAAAAAGCCGAAAGAACACCTCACTGTCCACGACCCCTCAGTTACGCGTCGACGGTGATTCACTTGGCTGTTAAGTTTATGACGTTTCGTGTAGACCTCTCTTGGAGTCCGTAGTCGACATTGAGGCGAAAATTCTAGCCGAGAGCTAGTCGCGTAGGCGCCAAAGTATGGGCACACTTGTGAACTAGCGTTGCCGTACACACGCTCGCCGAAGATATATAAAGGGTTTATTTCATTTTTGGCCTCGGATGGGGGTCTTTAAGTCCGTACCGTGGCATGATATTTAGTTGTACAGTGCGTCCCAGAAAAAAAACGAAACTGAGAATTATCGATGTTTTATCATAACTTAATCACAATAATAATTAATAAATGACACATATCTGGAAAACTTAGATCCTCTTTCATTTGATGCCACTCATATGATGCATATTTCACGCATGAGTGATTAAAAGCAATACAAAGACATATGGGTAAACGTCATTTTTCCTTTCAGTACTCCACAAAAAGCTGAAGAGAAGAAACCAAAAAGACATTTGGCGGGCGGTATCTGAATTTTAAAAGTAAAATCACATTTCTAGAAAGTTCAATTTCTCCCCTTTCATATGACACCTCAATCAGGAAAATGAGCCAGAAATAACAAAGTTCTGTTTGTTTAAAGTAATGTTTGCATTGTCATAATATGATCAAACAGGTTCGTTTTTACTGGCTGCCTGCCGTTGCGACGAACATAGTTGACAACGATCAGCCATGCACAAAGAAGACGAAAGAACTGATGCTTGGCTGATCTTCAACGAAACGGAGTTAAGTCTTCGGTTTCGTTTTTTCTTGGACGCACTGTATGTTTATTTAACCGTATTCGCTGTTTGCAGAAGTACAAAATTGTTTGAATTACCCGAGGATGTGTTTGCTCCCATAAGCATGCCACCGAAAACAAGGTACTCTTTCGCGTTCAGTAGTCAGATAGAACTCAACCTATTATGAGGAAATTAGGAACACAATAAACAAGTGGACCCATTCAGTTAGATTTCCAGTGGTCTACGGGAACAAAGTCTATCAAGTAACAATAAAATGTTCCTAGAACATGTCGAATGAAATAGGTTTTGCCTTCGGAAGTCACGGTCCCGGGTGAGAAAGTCTACAGCATTTGCCAAGCCCATACCCCCACCCCCCCCCCCCCCGCCATCTAGTGATGGGCTGATTTCGACGATTACTGCGAAATGAGGTCGGTAAATTATTAAAAAGAAAATCAGGAAAATTTTCTAAGTACATATTTTGGTGAGGTCTTATTGACGAAAGTACTTATCGTAGTAGTGTAAATATGTATATACATTGTGAGAAAAGTTTAAGGAACTATGCCATATTGTAGGTCACTTTACTCATAGACAAATACGAATAATTGAGTGCCTATCATAGACTGGCTTTTTTAATGAATGTTTGTTTGTCAATTTCTTTAGAAAAATTGCAAATAATTTCGAAGGGGGGGGGGCACCCAGGTCTACATTTCATTGAAACGCGGCAGAGAAAGTTGCATAATTGTGAAAAGGAGAAAGAAGACACTCATATAAACATGAGAAACAAAGATAGACAAGAGAGACAGATTGAGAGAGAGAGATAGAGAAAGACACACACACAGACAGATAGAGAGAAAGAGAGAGACGAACAGTAAGACAGAGAGAGAGGGGGGAGACGGAAAAGTGAGAGACGGAGAGATATATATATATATATAGACGAACAGACAGACAGAGGGGAGAGAGATGAAAAAGAAAGATGAATACGAGAATGGAGAGCGAGAGAGAGAGAGAGAGATACACAGAGAAAGGGAGAAAGATAGAGAGAGAGAGACGAACAGTAAGACACAGAGAGAGAGAGAGTGGAGACGGAAAAAGTGAGAGACGGAGAGAGAGAGAGAGATACGAACAGACATTGGGAGAGAGAGAGATGAAAAAGAGAGATGAAAACGAGAATGGAGAGCGAGAGAGAGAGAGAGATAGAGATATGAAGAAGATAGAAGGAGAGGGGAGAGAGGCAATCGCGTTTGAAGGAATTGTGCGAGCGCGCCGGTAGCTAAAGAGTTTGTACTTGCGACAAATACTTCAATCACCCAGCTCGTTGTTGCACCATTCCATCTCTCAGCGCTTCGATGGAATGGAATTGAAATAATTTAGTTTCTTGCTTGGAGTAAAGGAAATCAGGTATATTTTAACAACCTTGTAAACCTCTGGCAACATAGAATAACAGGCAACGATTGATAATTTCATTTAACTTTGTAAAGTCATCGTGATTTCCATGCGTGTTTTCTTACCCGTAAAAGTGCGATGTTTTGTTACTTTCCACCGCTCATCTGCATCTCGAAACGACATGATAGACTTTAAGCAACGCCTATTTTGTGGAGGCATTTACTTGGTTAGCGGTGTTTTTTCGACTTAACCGGTTGGTGTCAATTGGAAAAAATTGAGGTAAGAAATATATAGAAATTTACACTTATTATAACGATGTGGCAGTATACACTAAGAAATAAGGCTGCAATTGGGGTGCAGATTTGCATCCACCTACGCGTATGTGGCAGAGGACGATGCTATTGTAGTACAATTGCACCCCTATTTCTTAATGTGTACCATGAAAAAATATTGATTGAATATTGTATCTCATTTAATTAATTCATGCAATTTTATTTCTTATTACAAAAACGTATAACAGAATGATGGGTACCCGCATCAGGATTTTTATGCCCATTTCGATTTTCGCATTTCTAAAACGAATATTCAATCCAATTCGTATGCATATAGTTTGGTACAATCTTAACGAACTAGAGTAACGAACTCGAAAGATAGGAAAACGTATAACGGCTACCCGCATCAAATAACATTCTTATTTTCATTTTGTTTTATTTTATTATATGTTACCACATTTTTAACCCAATATTTCATATTAGATATAACCTATTCGTATACACATATTTCGGTACAATCTAAATACTAAAGTGCTTAAGCACTTAGATTACTATTATATTTTATTTTCAGCACAGGGAGAGCTAGTTTAAGCACTTTTGAAGTGTCTGTATAGTGACTTCACTAGCAGTGCTGCTTTCTGATCCAGCACCCAAAGGTGCTACTAAGTTTACACCAAGGGTGCTGATGAACATACATACGGGCTATCAACATCACTAAGAGTACGCATTACATGAGATTCATAATGTATGTACCGTTCTCATTTATCATGATTAAACATGGTTTGTAATCATAAAAGGTAATGAATTAACGACAATTTCAAACACACTCGTCAATTCTTATTCCTCTTTCTTTTTTTGTGTATGTACCGAGTATATTTTTGAGACGCCCATTATTAAAGACAATAGATCATTTAACTTTTTGTTATTTCTTAAATACAGTCAAACCTGTCTATACAGCGACCGCCCCAGGGAAACATAAAAAGTGATCTTTGTAGACAGGTTGTTGTTGTTGTTGTTGTAGGTAATAGTTTAATTGCGTTCATTCAGTATTGAATATATACGCCATATCTTTAATTTTATAAGAAAATCGGTTATACATAAGAAAACTGAGGATAAAAATTTGTAATGATATAATTAATTAATCAGTAACGCAATTTATTAGGAGTCTCTGGATGGTTTGCAACTTCGTGTTTCTGCTTTTTTTAAAGTTTAATCTGGTCAGGCCCGGTTTCGATTGCATGGAAAACTAGCTTTGCCCGATTTGAAACAGGCTTCTCGGCTACTCGGTGTGCGTGCGTGTAGACAGGTGGTCTTTGTAGACAGGCTCCTTAAGTACATGTTTCAATGAGAAACCCTTTTCAAGGGAAATAAAACATGTGCTTGTTGTAGACAGGTGGTCTTTGTAGAAGGTGGTCACTAAAGTATATTTGACTGTATCGAAGTAGGTTTAACTTAGTGATTGATTAAGGACTCGCAAACGACTACTTCAATTTAGCAAACGGAAAAAACGCAAATGATGCAAATCGTTTACTCTCTAGATCTCTGAAGATCGATTTGCTCCACTAATGCAACGCGAATCGGACGACGATGGGGTATTCGGTCAACGGTGCCGTAACGGCACTTCGATCTTCCCGGACCACCATCCTCGTCGTCATCCTCGTCGCTCTCTTCCTCGATGAGACACTCATGACTGTAGTCGGTGAGTACGTTCATCAAATATTATTTGAATTTTCAAAGTAGGGTATGGAGAGTGGGATCAAGGGAGAAAAGGACGCCGGAAGGAGAGAAAGGAGAGAGGAGGGAAAGGGGGGGGGGAGTGAAAAAGAGAGAGAAGGATATAAAAGGGGTGGAGGGAAGGGAGACACTAATACATATACAATGAGATAGATTGGGAAGTATAGGAGGATGGATGAGGCTGGTTTAACGGAAATAGTGACAAATTAGATAATGTACATCAGAGTATTCAATGTACAAACGGAGTGTGATCGATACGTTGACAGAAAGAAAGAAAGAGAGCTGAAGATGTGGGAAGTTAATCAATGGAAAATAGGTCCTGCATTGTGAAAGATATATATTCTATCAGTTTTAAAATGACCTTTTATGTTTCCATAAAAAATTACTAAAAATAAAACAATATGAAAATGAAAAAACGCCCATAGCTAAAGAGAAAGAGACTGTAGACTACTTGTAGTAGGAATGTGACAAATTGGCAAAAAGTATAATTGTAAAAAATTACTTCACCGTCGTTTTTCTTTCAGTTCCCATTATACCAGACATCTTCATGAAATCCTACTGCTCGAATACATCATCGGTGGAAGGGACAGCATCACTAAACGGATCGCATCATCTACCCCAAAGTGGTAGTGATGGAGAGAGTGGTATGTCCGATATCGTACCCATCTCGCGTCTCCAAGAGTACTCGTGGTACGACGAAGAGCTCGCTAATAAATTCTTCGCGGAGCATCCATCGTGGTTCGATGATAACAGCGGTATAGATAGGCCGACGACAACGAATTTGAACGGGATGGACGACGAGCTCGTCAATGAAAGCGAGGTCGACAAGGGGATTGGCACGACAGAGAGCCTGGATGAATGCATCAAGCATGTCAACATCAGGACTGGACTCCTCCTGGCGTCGAAGTTCATGATGCGCTTAGTCCTGAGCGCTCCTCTTGGCATCTTCACAGAATGGTAACTATGACAACCAGAAACAAATGTGGATAAGGGCAGAGAGGGGCAGAAAAAGAGAGAGAGAGAGAAAAAGAGAAAGAGAGATAAATAAGAAGAAAGAGAGACGGGTAATAAGAAATATCTGGGTCGGGGAATAAAAGAGGCCAAATGGTCCAATAAGCACTGAAGTTTACATACATTTGGAAAGGAAGAATTTTTTTTATTTAAGAAATCTATTTGCCTAATAGCATTATGTACATGGGGCTTTATTACGTCGCACTGCAACGGTATTTTATTTGCAATACAATGTACTTTCTTTTCCTTGTTACCAAACTGTGAATACTGTGAGTATTTGCGAATGATTTTATCAGGATGTCAGATCTCATTAGATGGATAACATGTTAAAAATGAATAGCCACAAAGTTAATTTGCAAGGAGATTGCAACGAATGTATCGGTCGAAAATACAATAGGGTTGGCATCATGACGGATCTAATTAGTTTTGATTGACTTCTTGTTCAATATCTTAACAAATGACCGATATCCCTTCCCGCCCTCATCCTAGTTCCGTTTCGTGATGAAGCATAAACGATCCGTTTTCCCGCCACCCGGTATTTCATTAGATCGGAGCAAGGCTGAACAAGCACAAAGTCGTGCGTGGCTTTACAATCAAATGCAATGATATTCCATTGGGGGTTGATGGTATTAAATAGGGTGACATTCCCAAACGGTGCCCTTATTCACAGAATTCTAAAATAAGAGGGGGAAAAACGTTGATTAATTCTCGTCTGTCCAGTCGTATATCGTTAGCCATGCTTATCCCGTTTCCTCGTTCTATTTTGGAGCTCTTCCTTTCGATTTTTGTTCGTTTTTTTTCCTTCAATTGACAATCTCATCTCACCCATTTCAAATTGAGTTCAATTGTCTTTCGGACAACATTAATCTTCTAAGGACTTTATTCATTTCAATCTCTCACAGTGTCTCATTAACTTCTTTTTTTTTCGTTCGTATAATGAACCAATAAGCATAACGACCATTACCCATTTTTAAGTAAAGGATGATTTCATACGCTTTGAATTCCCACCTTAAAGGTACTATGTCCCTTTTGCAGCCAACCTCAAATTCTGTAGAACTTTGCAGGAATTATGAATATGTCATGTACGTCCTATCTGTGAAATTTAAATGTTAGCAGTGTCATCATATTCAAATTATGCAAGGAAACCCGTTTACTTGCTAGACTTCACTGTCAGACACTATTGAGTGACTGACTGGCTTTTTTCCTTCTTTGGTAATAACATACATGAAAAGAGTTGTAAAGGGTACATGAGCATTTGTCTACATCAATAACCCACTTCTTGTGATGGCCAAGATTAAACTGATTGAATCTTTGCGCAGCATAAAACGTATGACTATTCGGTACAATAATCTGAAAATCAAGACTATTACTTTCGGGCTCTATAGCCCTAAAGTCGATTTGACAACTGATAGTCGTTATTTTCCCATTTGAAGACATTTTCAAGCCCCACCTTTTTTAGGGAAGTTCTAAATTAGTATTATCTTTCAAATGCAGTTGGAATTTAACTTTTTCATTTTTTGGGCCTGCAAATGGGACATAGTACCTTTAATACACGGAAATTCTTTAGTCCGAACGTATGTTGTGTGGATGAGAGCACAGTTGATTATCGTATTTCCAGCCATGGGGGGGGGGGGGGGGGGGGGGGGGGGGGGGGGGGTTGTCATTTGGAGTCACCAGTCTTACTAGTTAGATGAAATACGAGATAGCAAGCCGTCGATTAAAGGAAAGTTGTGGAAAGGGAGTGTATCATATTATTTTCACTTTACCCCCCCCCCCCCTCTCCCTCTCTCTCTCTCTCTCTCTCTCTTTATTTTTTTCTCTCTCTCTCTCTTCATCTCTCTTTTTTTTTCTTTCCCTCTCCTCAATTCTCCCCTTATTTGGCCCCCAAATGGGGGCAAATACCCCTCGTGCCCCCTGTAGCTACGCTAGTAGGTGGGATAAAATCAACGATTATATCTTTTATGTACCTTTATGATGAAAATATTAGAGGAAATTGAGGGTTAATCAGCTGCCTGGGTTATTATTATTCAAGTAGATATTGCTAGTCTTCTGACCAAGGATCCAATCTGAAACCAAAGCTATACCTCCATTTTTTTGGAAACAAAGGGATGCTATTACGGTAACCCGACACATGCTCCGCCGACGATTGCTCCGCCGACATTTACTCCGCAAAACGCGACAATTGCTCCGCGACATTTGCTCCGCGACATTTGCTCCACCGACAATTGCTCCGCCGACATTTGCACTGCCGACATATGCTCCGCCGACATTTGCTCCGCCGACATTTGCTCCGCCGACAATTGCTCCGCCGACAATTGCTCTGCCGACATTTGCTCCGCCGACAATTGCTCCGCCGACAATTGCTCCGCAAAACGCGACAATTGCTCCGGTGACAAATGCTCCTCGAACGACAGTTGCTCCGCCGACATTTGCTCCGCCGACAATTGCTCCGCCGACATTTGCTCCACCGACAATTGCTCCGCAGACAATTGCTCCGCTAAACGCGACAATTGCTCCCGTGACATTTGCTCCGCCGACAATTGCTCCGCCAACAGTTGCTCCGCCGACATTTGCTCCGCCTGAAGCGACACTTGCTCCGTTGACATTTGCTCCGCCGACAATTGTTCCGCCCAAAAAGTGTCCCATAAAATACAAATGCTACTAGTACTACGACAAATGCTTCGATGACAATATTTTTTTTTCACGGGTTATTTTCGTTTCTTTTTTTTTTCTTCATTTTCTGAATGCATTTCATGAAATGATGTAGATGAAATGAAATGAATGAATGTTGATGACAATAATAATAACTAGATTTGCAATACTTGTTTTGAACAAGTATAGGTGGGCTGGTCTAATTAAAATTTGAGTCAAAATAAAGGGCAAAGTTAAGATAGCTTATTGTCTCAGCTACAACATACTCGAATTTCAGCGTAAACGAAGCTAAAACGACGGAGATATTGCTCGCGAAGGACGGGAATGTAGAATCCAGTTTTGAAAAAAAAGTCATGTCCCATAGAGAATACACGCAAAAAGTGAAAAATTGATATTCCTCCTTTAATCGCAAAAATACGCCATGATGCTTTTGTCGAAATGAAAAATCATGTCGAATGCATTTGTAGTGAATTATCTCAGCTAGAACATATCGAAAGTTGGAAGAAAATCAATCAATATTTACAGAGATACAATCAATTTTCCAAAAATATGCTGATGTCATAATATGCAAATTGGAATTTTGAGTTCGGAGGCCATTATGATGACGTCATGAGTTAATTGAGGGTCAAATGAGACAAGAAATCATATTTCCAATTCATACTCTACAAAATAAGAAACAAAATTCGGGGTCACCTTACATCCTAAAGAGCTACAATGGATTTTGTATAGGCATGTTTTTGCCCATATATGCTATGTATAACAAGAGCTCGCACGCACAGACGTGTATCTTAAACGGACGCTCACTCCGTTATTAATGGTCAGAAATATGTTAACAAGGTATCAAAATGCTTGGGAAAATGTGCCAAATATGATGACAAAGAAAAATTGGCGATTCTTTGTTGCAAAATGCCAGAACGCGCTAAAACACGCGCGCATGCGCGTGTGCGAGATTTTTTATAAAATGCCTAAAATGGCCTAAAACGTATGTACAATTATTTTGAGACTATTGTGAGCATTTTGATATTTTGCGTGCGCACTGACCCGCGGACGTACGCGCACTTGCGCGTTTTATGACCTGAAATTTACCGGACTGATATTGATCTTGATCATGATAAATATGAATGAGAAATACCTTTTGGTTATGAAGATATGATCATGAGTTGATTTTCAGAAAATTTTACAAAATGGCGCCTAGATGACGTCATCAGTCAAAGTCAAGATTGAAAACCTTACCGCTTTTTGTCCATATGCCTATACATAATGTGTGCCAAATATCAAAGCATTTGATTGAACCGTTTCAAAGTTATCTTGCTAACAAAAAAGTGGGTCGAAATAAGAAAAATAAACTAGATTTGTAATACTTGTTTGGAACAAGTATAGGTGGGCTGATCCAACAAAAAATTGAGACAAAATAAAGGGCACATTTGAAATATCTTATTGTCTCAGCTACAACATACTCGAAGTTCAGCGTAAACGAAGCTAAAACGACGTAGATATTGCTCGCGAAAGACGAAAATGTAGAATCCAGTTTTGAGAAAAAGTCATGTCCTATAGAGAATACACGCAAAATATGAAAACTTGACATGCGCCCTTTAATCGCAAAAATACGCCATGATGCCTTTGTCAAAATGAAAAATAATAGTGACTGCATTTGTAGAAAATTGTCTCAGCTAGATCATATCAAAATTTGGAAGAAAATCGATCAATATTTACAGAGATACAATCAATTTTCCATAAATGTGCTGACGTCATAATATGCAAATTGGAATTTTGAGTTCGGAGGCCATTATGGTGAGGTCATGAGTTAATTGAGGGTCAAATGAGACATGAAATCATATCTCCGATTCATACTCTATCAAAATTTGACCCAAAAATTGGGGTCACCTCGCATCCTAAAGAGCTACAATGGATCTTATATAGGCATGTTTTTGCCAATATATGCTATGTATTACAAGAGCTCGCGCGCACGGAAATTTTTGTTAAACGGTCGATCAATCCGTTATTAATAGTCATAAAGAGACAAACGTGGTATCAATTTGTTTGTAAATATATGTGGAATATTATGAAAAAAACGAAAAAGGCAATTCTATGTTGTGCAATGGTTTTACGCGCGAAAACGCGCGCGCATGCGCGTGTGCGCGATTTTTTTTTTAATAAAATGCTTAGAATGGCCTAAAACGTATGCAAAATGATTTTGAGACGATTTTGAGCATTTCAAAATTTTGCGCGCGCATTGACGCGCGGACGTATTTGACCTGAAATTGACCGGACGGATATTGTCCTTGATCATGGTA